AGTGCTTGGCCGGGGGACTGGCCTGGCTGCATAGTGCTGCGGAGCAGTTCCATCCATCTTTTCGGGGTTGCCCTGATCTGCGGGTGTTGTGGTACGCTATTAGGGAGGAGGAAGGGCGGGTCATCCCATTGGTGATGGTCCTCGAGAACATTGTCTTCCAGGAATACTCTCATGAATGTGAGGATTCCGAAGAAAGTCCAAATGTAGTTGGTCCTGAAGTGGTCCAGTGTGAGGTTCATCAGCTGTGAGTGAGTGAACCATTCAAAACCAGAGTTTGTCTTCGGCGTGCTTATTTGAGGATCCATGAGAATTATGACCGGGACAATTCCCTTGGGGAAGGATAGGGCTTTTGGAAGAACAGCCCCAATCACTCCCCGGATGTCGGACTCTTTATTCCAGTATTTTATCCTCTTCAGAATCACTGTTCTGAAAGGGTTCCCTCTCCACCCCTCTACTGTGAGTCCCATTTGAGCTGTGGAACTCGCCGGTTAACCGGGCGGCGGTCTGAGGCCCAACTGCCCACTCCCCTTCATCTTTGATCCTTGTGAGGGGGAAAAGAACCATTCCCGGTGGCATATACTCTGGGGCACTGTCGTCCTCTTCGAGTCTCACCATATGCTTCAGTTTTTTGGGCAACAGCAGTGCTAGGGCCCTCTCATTCGATCGCGCGTCTTTTGGGTCTTCGTCCACATCATCATGCATGATGTCTGCGTGATGTAACCCAGTTTTGTGTGGGCACATGGAAGGTCGGTCTTCAGACTGCGTGTGGCGGGTATCCCTATCACCCTGGTCTGTCTGCAGTTTATGAGGCGGGGCCTGCTGGATGGTCTGTGGTTGTTGTGGGAACAGCTCAGTGTGGCCATTTTGCAGACGATGTCCAGAGTGCTGGTCTTGGTGAGTATGGTTAATAGTGCCAGCAGCATTTGTGTGGGTCCTGGTTGGTCCGGCCCACCAATGAGCAGATTCCGTTGCCGTTGTTGTTGGTCCGTCCGGGATCGCAATTGGTCTAGGGCCGGCTGATCACCATATAAAGAATTGCAAACCTCGAGGGCGAGGGGCTTGGGCCAGGCAAGACCCTCGTGTAGGAACGCCTCATGATTGCTGTTGTTGTGGCTGGTCACCCAGGCATAAGCAAACTGTTCAATTTTATCTAAGAACTCATTTATAACGAAGACTACACCTGCTCCAACTTCCATCCAATCTATGGCGGAGACCTCGTCATGTCTCTCAACTGCGGCAAGGATCCGTGCACTGTGCATGAGTACCGTTTTCGCCTCTTCCCAGTGTAGTGTGACCAGTGTATCTGTCGGACTGCTTTCTGTGAGCGAGAATATTTATAGCAACGGCCAGTCTATTAGGAAACACAGGTTTTGTTTCACCTCTTGCTGATTAGAGAGTGTAAGAGCATTCTGCATTTCCACCTCAATTGGGCAGGACAGTTGATTGTCCGGTGGTAGGTTCTGTTCGGGGGCTGAGGTGTTCATCTCGTGTGGTTCGAGTTCTCCGTGTCGAGTTCCTTGCTGGCCCGTGGCAGGCATTTCGAGGAGCCAATAGTGTTGGGAGTCAGGCAACATCGGGAGGAGACATTGCTGTTCTTCTTGTTGTGTCAGCAACCTCCGTCTTTCCTCCTCCTGTTGGCAGAAGGCTTGCAGCTGAAGCTGTTGTTGTTGCAAGACTTGCTGCTGTTGCTGACAGAGTTGCTGTTACCAAAATAGATTGACCTGATGCTGGTTTTGTTGTTGCAGCAACAACAGCTCGTGTTGATGTTGCCTCTGGTGCTGTACCAGCTGTGGCTGCAGCAGGACGTGGAGCTGTTCCTCTACATATCCCTGCTGCATTTGTTGTTGTTGATGGTGTTGGTTCGACTGCCAAAGCGTTTGCTGCAGCATGTGCACATGGGCCTGTTGTTGTTCTTGAAGCTGTTGCTGTTGTATTTGCTGTTGGAACTGTATGGCGTGCTGGAGAGTTTGTTGTTGCTGGTGCTGGTTCTGTTGCAAAAGGAGTTGTTGTTGGCCAAGAAGAACTTGGTGCTCGTCCTGTCCTGGTTGCAGCTGTATGTGATTGTTGAGGGGCGCAGGAAGGGCTTGTTGGTGCGCCCGATCAAGCCCGTCGTCAGTCTTGTTCCAGTTGTGGTGTTGAATCTCCTGAAGCTGGAGCGTTTGGAGTAGTTGGTTCTGGGGGGTCCCTGTTGGCAGCTGCAGACGGTCGTTGTGCTGCATGGTTCCCTCTTCATGCCCGGTTAGGGCAGGTCGTTGTTGTTGCTCCAGCGGTTGGTTAGCGTTCCGGCCCTGTTCTCCCCCTTGAATGCCCTTTGGGACATGTTGACCCCCGGCCTGCTCCTGGAGGTCATTCAGCAGTGGAAGATGCTGTGTACACGGCTGATGAGGGTGTTGAGGGAGCTGCTGCTGGGAAAAGGCAGCACGTTTCACTTTGTTGAGCAAGGAGCTGGCTTTGACCCAAATCCCATGCGGAGTGAGAGATTGACGGCAATCCTCTTCTTTGCCTTTGAGGGTCTGGGTCGGGGTCTCTGTGGGGCGGAGGTCATCCCCTGTTGCAGGCAGGGGTCTCGCCTCAGTTGAAGGTCCAGGTTGAACAGCCTGCACCGCTTGGCCAACCAGTGGTTGAGCTTCTGTTTCTGCAGTTGCACCCTTGGCCGGTTCGTGCTTCTGTTGTTTGGAAGCAGTTGCAGATTGCCGGTGCTGCCCACGCCCAGGACTGGGTAGTTCATGTTCCACTTCCAGGGGTTGGCTCGGCACCGCACGATCCACCGTTAGTGGCGCGGGAGGGTCTTTTCCTGTAGCAGTCCCCTGTGTCTTCAGCTCTGAGTGTGTCAGGGGAACTGATTTCCCTTTGCTCACACTGCTAATCAACCGAGGCTGTCCTCCAGCCGCTCCTGCGGTCTTTTGATTCTGAGAGCACTCAGGCACAGGTGGTCCCAACTTTGCACAATGATCCCGCGCCCCTTCTGCCATTTTTTCAGTCTCTGTGAGGTCTTCTATCAACAGAGCAGGGGAGTCAGGGCCTGTGGCAGTCGTGCCGTCGGACGTGATGACTACAGAGTTCCGGTCTTCCATCTTGGCTTGTAAGGGGCAATCTTTATGGGTGGCTTGGCCGGGTCCACCTCCCTTGCCCTGTTTTATGATCTTTTCTTGCGGGACAGAGGCCAGGTCAGGCAGTTTGGGTGACTTCTGGAGGGCGTGCCCGTGGTTCTGTTGCGGCTTTGGTATGTACTTGAGTGGGGGGCGACGTGCCTCAGGGGTGGTGTTGGTCGCAGTCGGCCGTGAAGATGATCCTGCGTTCTTCTGTGGCCCCTGATCCCCAGTTGGTACACGTGTGTTTTTGTCCACCGCATTGTCCACCGCCCTTGGTTGAGCCGCTTGTGCTTTAGTCTTGCTGCGCGTTTCCGTTTCCCGGCCTTCCCCCTTCTTTGTTTTCTGTTTTGGATCGATGTTGACTTCGTGTTTGGCCCCTGCTGGAAATGCTGATGGGTGGCCTTTTCCATGCCAGAACCACATCCCCGGCCTGCCATCGGCATATGCCATCAGTTCCTAGCCTTCCAATTCCTTTTCATCAGGGAACCATCTTTCCTCGTCAGTTGAGTGGGGGATGACCAGGCCCCTGATTCTGTGTTTGTGGCTATTTGGGCAGGACTCGTCCATACACAGATGACCCCCAGTTTTGCAGGCATAACACCACGGGTCCTGTGTATGGCTGATCGGGACGGAGTACTCCTTGCCGCCGTGGGAGTATCTCCACTCTTCATTCAATGGAGATGGAAAGTTTAGGTCCCAGTCTACTGCCACCAGCAAGGAGTCATCCCTTTTCCCTAGAAATTGGGGGAGGTCTGTGATGTATCCTCTGACATGGGCTATGTCTTCTAAGTCCGTAAGGATGGCTCCTTGCATGCAAAGGGGCGCAAATCTGAACTCAACCCAAAAGTTCGACTTCACGAGGAACTCACGCCTTTCGTCACTTAACTTCCCTTGATATGGCACAGTCAATGGACAGTACCAACTTCGAATCTCCCGTTTCTCTCACAAAATTCTCTCCCCCCCTGTTGTGCAAGCCGCCACCTCCGCTAGGTACAATCGCCTAGTTGGTTACAACCTTAGGTAGTAGGATAGCAATTAAACTGCAAACACAAGGCAAGCAGTCGACAACACACTGGACAAAGCCACAGATGCTGTATGATCAACATCCAAACATCTTATTACAAGAGAGACCCACGTTAACCAGTGGTGGGTTAATTGTGGTCATGCGTGCTGCTCAAAGATGAGTGTGAGCCGTCGCTAACCACATCACCCTCCACCGCTTCCTCGCTCATACCTCGGTCGCGTCAATGCCACAAAGGCGACAGAGGATATGTTACCTCTACATGCATCTATTTATGGCAAACATCAACCAAATTAGCGCACTTCTTCGCCGGACACCGACTACTCTTAATCCTAAAATTTACCATGCTCATAGGTCTCTGGTTCAAGACCGGTTACAAAATGGTCTCGGAATATGCGCACGACGGACCAAAGCGACATGGTACTCCTTTCAAGTCCCGATACGAATCGTAGCCCATGGTTTGAAATATATACCGGTACTTACACCAAAGGGCATCCCCTGGTCCCCATAAAGGCCAAGCACACTATGCATCAAACACACAAACAAAGACCGGTACATGGGTTTAGATCCCCCACGAGTCTACAAAACGAGAGCACCTGTAATGAAAGGTTTTCTTCAGTAAAAAAAAACAAACAAGCAAATTCATTGCATTCAAGGCTTACTCAGTTGGTACACTCATGAACTGCTGAAATACAGACCAAAGTTCGATTGCAGACAATCAGATGACCAGAATAACATCATTCTAATTACCGGCCCAATGACGATATCTCAAGGCCGCCCCCCACCTTTTTTTTTTTTAAGACTTACTCGTGTAGAGGAAATGAGCTATAGAGGCAAATGAGCACATTGGCGAATGGAGGCACATGGCATGGTACGGTAGAGCTTACCGCTGTTCTAGTTTCTCTCTCATATGCCTTCATTTGCGCCCATGACGACCAAATTCGTAGCACCTCTGCCCTCCTCTCAAGCTGTTGCAATCGAATGAACCTGTTGACTGGTCAAGTGGCAAGCCCCTATTAGGGTCCGCTTTTGGTGAACAAGGAGGATCTGGGGGCGGGGTTGGGAGAAGAGGGAAGGAAAGAAATAGAAATGGGTGGAGGGAGGGACAGACGGATGGA